AAATGAGGAGCTGATACCAAGGGCTCAGGTAGAAAGAAAATGTTTAGGAAATGATGATGGCAACATATGTACAAGTATGCTTGATACAATTGATGTATGGACTGTTATAAGAGCTCTAAGAGCCCCCAGTAAAATGATTTATTAAAATAAAAAAAGAAACATGGGCTAGTGCCTGTCTTAGTTAATGGAGCCTTCTGTAAGAACAAGGAGCTCTGGTGTAGTAGGGTTACACCTGGACTACTAACTACCAGGTTGGTGGTTCAAACCTCCTGCTCCGAGGGAGAAAGATGAGGCTTTCTGCGCCCATCAAGAGTTGCAGTCTCAAACCCACAGGGGCAGCTCTACCCTGACCTCTAGAATCAACTAAGGGTTGGAATTGACTCACTAGTTGAGTTTTTAAAGAAATCTAAAGTGGAATCACCCACCCTGATAGTCTACCTCCTTTTTCTGTTTTATTATGAGACTTTTCTCTACATGGCATTGGAATAGACATTTATTTTTAATTTGCTTATCTACCTTCTCTCCCACCGAAATGTAAACTCCGAGAGGGCAGGCCTTGGTGTGAGGTACGCACTGCTGTATGCTCAGTGCTACAATAATACCTAGAATGTGATGAGTTGTTACTACTGGCAAACTCTGAGTCTTCCCCACAGAAGAGATTCATTGGTTTGTCCAGTATTAATTGCCACCCCCCCTGGTCAGCTGTCAGGACAGGTGCCCAGCCCTGGTACATCCAACCAGCAGGGCCCAGGGTGGTGAGGACACATGGTCCACTCCTGTCTGTCCCTTTCTTTCCACCTGGTACAGACTGGCCCCTCCCAGAGTTTTAAATTTCAACTTCTGCCTTGTGAGAAAAATGACGTCAAGTTGCCTTCTGTTTCTAGCTAAGGGTTTGGAGGAATGCTAAGAAGTAGTACTCTAACATTCTTGACCTTCTTTATGCCCTCTTGTGTTAGCCTTGTAATAATAATCTTTTTAGAAGAATTCATACCAGACTAGTCGCAAGGTGTTGGAGATTAATGATGTCCCCCAAATCCAGCTCTTTCTAAGAGGCCATTCCCATTTCACACCCTCCCCTCCCCCTCCACTCCTTCTTTAAGTATATTCCCTCTTGTTCCTGGGTTCTGTGATTCACTGTGATGTCCCGCCACAGAAAGCCACAACGCTTTGAGGAAATGTCTTATGTGGCGGCGGGGGGTGCTGTTCAGTCCCAAATCCGAAGGTCAGTCAGGCAGAGGTAATCAAGTGCCCCGAGCCAGAAGCCAACATGTCCAAATGCACAGCAGGTCTCACGTGGATCAGAGCTCCATCAGGAAACAGGCCTGCCTTTCCAGGCGAGGGTGTGTGTGTTAGAACCCGATGGTGGTACCATTGTATAGCAAGGACAACAAGGGTGGTTTCTTAAGTCACACCCTCTACTAAAGTCAGGCTTTAATCCCACCTTATTCCTGTCCATCTGGGGAAAAGACAGGGATTTCCACTCCCATAAAGGATTGCAGTCTCAGAAACGCACAGGGCAGTTCTACCCTGCCCTATCGGGCTACTATGAGTTGACATCAGCTCAATGACAGGGAGTTGAGTATCCCTGTCCATTAGTAGAGAATGCCCTCCAAAACGGGCCTGAAGCCACAGGCGTATAAAGTCCAGAAATTAGGTCATATAAGCAATTATGGGACCACAAGGGCCATATTAATGGACTGCTGCTCAATCCTGTCTGTCATCATTGCGTGCTTTTTCTCCTCTGGTTCTGGGCCTTCGTCTGCCCTCCTCCTTCATTTGCTTTCCTGCCCTCCTGCCTCTCCCCTGCCCGTCTCTCTCACGGGCACTTTTGCTTCACCCTCTGCGTCATGCCAGAGTGTTGAGCCTGCCTCCTGCCTCTGAGAAAGCTTGCAGTTCACCCGCCTGACATACTCTATCTCTCTGTTGAGCCTCACGACCGGAAAAGGGGTGAGGAAGGAGTCTGGACTGGAGCCTTCTCCCCGTCCTCTGTTCATTCAGCTAATATTTGAAACCATACCTTGTGCTGAATGCTTGGCTACCCATCAGCAAACACCCCGGAGTGTAGGCAGGGAAACCGTTGTACTGAATGGGTTTTCATTCAGGAGTTAGCTCAACAATATTTAATAAGAGTGGGCTATCGTGGTGGGTGTGGGCGAAAACAAAAATGCTGCTTCCTCTGTGAGGCCGCACTGTGTGGTGAGAAAGTTAATTATTAATGAGGTAATTACATATTAATGAGGTAATTACACACGCAGGGTGCTGTGAGACTTGTACTGGTCAGAAGGGCCAAGGGGACTGCCTGGAGGGAGCGAAGGGAGAACTGTGCTCTGACGGCAGATGGCCTAGAGCAGTGGTTCTCA